GGGGGGGGGGGGGGGGGGGGGGGGGGGGGGGGGGGGGGGGGGGGGGGGGGGATAAGCCCACACCAGCAGCTGTACTGGGTAGCAGTCAACATTCCTTCGCGACGAAATCGAAAATGAAATTCTGTTCGGGCTCCCACCCCTCCTTCCCTCCCCTCGCCTTCACAGCCCACGTGAAAACAGGCCCGGTATGAATGTTCTTGGACAAGGGCGACGTTATTGGTAGGGGTTTCTAATACACCAGGACATAAAAACCACATCGTGTTTGATAACCGGGAGGCGCGCAGCAGCTGTTTTGCGGTCTCAACAGACCTAAAGAGGGGCAGAGCAAGAGATCAATGCCTCAAGCCCCGCCCTCCCCCCCGTCCTCTCGAGGACGCGTGGCCAATGGTCTAACAACTAAGGCATGCAAAACTACACTCCCCCTTCTGCTCACTCCGTCCTCTCGAGGACGCGAGGCCAATGGTGGACGCGTGGCCAATGGTCTAACACAATCAAAGCATGTAAAACATGAGTCCAACCCCCCCCCTCCCTCCTGGTCAATGGTCTAATGACTACGGCATGCACGGCTTTGAGTACACTCCCCCCCCCCCCCCCCCCCCCCCCCCCCCCCCCCCNACGAACCAGGCCGCCGCCAGGCAGGCGAGCACGGCGGAGGCGAGAATCGAGTCGAGCGGGGGGCGGGGCGCGGAGAACAAGAATGGTCGGAACACGGGCAGCAGCACCAAAGACTTGGACGTCTCGCACAGGACCAGCAGGGACACTGCACCCCCCACCGATAGAATCTGCGTGCGTGCGAACGGTACGGGGAGGGGGGCGGGGGCGGGGGATGCGCGATGAGTCAGTTTCGTTGATTTCGTGGAAATCTTGTTGTTCATCGACGACGATGGACAGAAACCTGATACCTGTGACGGGAGCGCAATGATGAAGTCTATGCATGCATGATGCAGAGGCGTTCTTCGGTTGGGTCAGATTGTAGTAAAATGCTTGCAAATGCTTTGCTGGTGCTAGGATACCTCCGTGAAGGGGATGCGCATCCACTAGTGAAGTGAACTCGCCGTCCGTTCTGTGCCTGTTGTTTCCGAAAGCAGCTCAAAACACCACCAAACAGGACAGACACACCACGCTAAACCCCTTACCTACAACGCGCATCACCGCTTTGCAAGCACCAGACCTCCGCAAGCACCCCCTTCCCCCCCCCCCCCCCCCCCCCCCCCCCCCCCCCCCCCCCCCCCCCCCCCCCCCCCCCCCCCCCCCCCCC